TGGAGGGTGGGAAGGGATAGACTGGGATTTCAAAATTGTAGAATAGATAAACAAGATTACACTGTATAGCACAGGGAAATATACACAAAATGTTATGATAAATCACAGAGAAAAAAATGTGACAATGAGTGTGTATATGTCCACGAATGACTGAAAAATTGTGCTGAACACTGGAATTTGACACAACATTGTAAAATGATTATAAATCAATAAAAAATGTTAAAAAAAAATAAATAAAAGAAGCTAGCTTTAACAGAGCCCTTACTAGTGCCAGGTCTTGGGCTTACCTGCTTTGCATACACATTGCAATTTAATCCTCATGGTAACATAGATATTATCCCCTTTATAGGTTTAAAAAAACCCCCAAAGAGGACATGAAGTTACAAAACGGATCTGAACCGAGTTTTCTGAATATGTAACAACTAGGCTGACCTCAGTGGTCTTCAAACTGTGTTCTCTGGAGCCCAGGGCTCCTCAGAGGTAGCTGGGGCTGGCAGGTCCGGGAAGCCTGTGGGTCAGCCCCAGGCTATTTCCTGGCGGCCCCTATCATCTCTCCTACACACACTGGGCTTGGCAGGCACTCCTTTTGGAGAGAGCATTGCTTTGCCCGCTAGCCTGGAACATCCTGGGTCACGTGGTGCTGCCCAGTCTCCCTGACAGATGTGCCCCCCTCCCTGCTGCTCAGGGACCCCAGGAACTAATCCCCTTGGCGCAGGACACAGGAAGGGATTAGTGCTGGGAAATCAGGTGCCACATCTGCCAGCCCCTGGGGCGCCTGGGTGAAGCCTGTGCCTTAGAGCTCAGGAAGCCATCCCTGTCCCCTGAAACACAGGGGACTCCCAGAAGCACTGTCTAACCATGGCTAGAACTGAATTGCCCCGTCCTTCCTGAGCCTTCCAGAAGAAGGTGAGTTGGCGCCAAGCACCCAGGGGTCTGGCAGGGTTGTTTCTGAGGCTTGAAGTGGGAGGAGGAGCTGGAAGCAGAGGCAATGATAGGGAGGGTGACCAACTGGCCCAGTTTCCCCTGGACTAAGGGGTTTGGGATGTTCAGTGCTAAAATCAGGACAGATCTGAGATCTGGGCAGATCCGGACAGTCAGCCACCCTCGTAAGTTTTTTTCTGAGCTCGTTTCCCTTGCCTTTGAGGTGGGGCTTCACAAAATGGGGGGTTGCTTGGCCCCCCTCCCATCCTCAATCCCCCTCTTTGTCTTCTTGCATTTCTCTGTTCCCCTCCTCCCTTTTCCAGCCTTCAGGACCTCTCTTTATTGTCACTCCACTGACTCAATTTCCCGATCACAGGGTCTACTGGGCTGTAGATCTGAATCCTCAAGGGGCTGGACTCTTCCACACCATGGAGAGAATGAAGACCCAGGTGAGGCGCAGCCCCACAAAGGCTTGCATCAAATATTGGCCGAAATCATTAATCACCCCGTATCACCTTCATTGTCATCACTAACATTTCTAGAGTTTGCATCACAGGCCAGGAACAGTTACAAGTGTTTTATGTATATTAACTCATTGAGTTGTCAAAACAAACCAGAAACTGATTGTTTTTCTTTTTCCAATCTCCAGGCCCCTCACCTGAGTGCTCCCAACTTATCCCCAACTATCTGTTCAGTGAAGCTGTCCTCCCCCTCCCACCCCAAGGCTGAGCTCATGGGTACCTCGGAGCCCCTAGACCCCTCTGACATGTTCTGTTTACATCTCTCTCTCAGAGAAATTATTACAATGACACTAGCTACCAGTTTGTGAGCAGACAGTTTCTAGAACTTCGCATGCAATTATCTCATTTACCCTCACCTAAATTTTATGAGGTGTAGGAACAAAGGGCATTCCATTAAGCAGACAAGGAAACTGAGACCTAAAGAGGGGAAATCATTTGTCCACAGCAGAGCCAGAATCAAGCCCTACTTCACCTGGCCCCAGAGACCTTGTGTCTAACCTCTCTACCATCCTGCTGGCTCCAACAGAGACAGACGTTGGCCAAAGGCTCAGAAACCTCAGGGCGTAGCACTGTGCCCTGCACACAGCCAGCTCTTGGGGATTGTATCCTGAATGAATGAGCAGACAAGGAGGCCTGTCCCAGAGTGGACAGGGAGGGGAAAAGAGGTGAGCGTCTCTGGGCTGCAGACCTCCCAGGGAAGGAGCTGAGGGTAATACTTGTTAAATGAACAGTGCAGGGCCAGGCATAAAGTTGGCACTCAACATATGATGTTCATTATTTTTTAGACAAGTCCTTTCCTTCTTGTAACTTCAGTTTGCCCACCTGGAAATGAGAAGGTTCTACAAATGATCGTGAAGGCTATTCCACAACTTCGGCTGACTAGGTCAGAGACTGAACTTTGGGTTCAAATCCCAGCTCTGCAATAGCTGTGTGACTTTGGGCAAGTCTCTTAACTTCTCTGAGCCTTATCTGTAACATCAGGGCACTAATAGCACCCATCCCACAGGGTGCTCTGACACTCCTCTTAAAAGGCTTAGCACCATCTCTGGGACACTAACTGGAGGTGGTACTGTGTTTCCCGAATTCTAAGTTGGCTGTGAGGAAACCCATGGTTCTTCCTGGGGCCAGGTCGCCACACATGCTCTCTCTCCAGATACCTTGCCACTTCCCCAACCGGCCTCTTCTCCTCTCTCTGCTGGACTTTAGGCCTTGCTGGCATTGTCTTACACTCCCTGTTTCCTGCCTTGGCCCACCTCCCTAGCTGTGCTTCCTCAGCCCCCAAATCTGTCTGAGGGAAAGGGCCCCATTTCTCTGGGCTCCACCTTTCTTTGAGATCTCCCAGCAGGTCCCTTTTTAATTTTTTACTACAGTGGTTTTTATACTCATTTGGACAGAGCAACATGGGGGACGTGGTGATGTGACCAGCTCCCCAGAACCAGCCACCACTGTGAGATGCCAACCACACTTTGGGGGCTCTGCACAGGCCTGCTGTGCTCCCTCCAGGTTCAAGGACACACTGTTGGCAGATGTTCTGGAAAGTGGGTGTGTGGCAAGGAGTGGAGGGAAGCGGGTCTCCTGGAAAGCCTTGTCCTATGTTCTCAGGACCCACATGTTCACTCCACAAAGTGTACTGAGCATCCAGGATAAACCAGAGGTCACGGAGGAGAGAAAGTGAGGAAGTGGCCCCTCCCTTGGAGAACTCACACTCCATGAGATGGATTAGCTAATATTCTACAGAGAGAGCTGGATTTGCACCAAGATGGAGGCTTATACCAAGTGCCTTGGAAGGAGAGTTGGGCAAGGCTTCAGGATGGAGGTGGCATTTCAGCTGTTCTTAGATATTTAACTAAGTGCATAGGAGAGAGAGGGCATGCCCAACAGAAGGAACAGGCTATGCAAAGGCACAAAGGTACAGAGGTGCATGCATGGCAGAGCTGCTGAAGAGGCCACAGTGGGAAGGGCCTTGGTTTTACAGGTGTGAAATTTACCCCAAGCTGTGGGCTCTCCTGATGTCTGGGTGAGCCTAAGGCATAGGCAAGGCCAGAGCAGGGGTCCCCATCTCTCCTCCTTCTGGCTGATCCCCATGGGGGCATGCCTCATCCTTCCCCTTCCAGGCTGGCCGGAAGCTCAGTCTGCTGAAAGTGAAAAAGAAGTGGTTCTTCCCTGCTTCCTGCAGCTTCTTCTTCCTGCTCTCTGTGCTCATGACTGGCTGCTTCCTGTGGCAGTATTACCTCCCCAAGCTGCAGACTGGTGAGTATAGGAACATCCTTGACTTCCTCCCCACCCCAGGGGTCCTCACGGCTTAGAGCTGCCACTCTTGATCTGAGGGTGCAGGGGGAGACCATAAGATTCAGACTCAGAAGATCTGGCCTCCATTCTGCCTCCAACTCTCATTAACTGTGCATCTTTAGGCCATTCATTGTACTCTCTGTGCCTCAATGTCCTTGTGTATAAACGGAGTCTAATGCCACTGGGGTTTTCTTAAGCCACTGACTCTGGGGGTAAAACTCAGGTAAAACCCAAAAAGTCCAACAATATTTCTCTTGCTCTGCTTTCAATCCCCATGATGGGATCTCCAGGCCCTGCCCTCCTTTAAACACCCTCCCTCAGCTACATGTAATGCCTTGGAAAGAACAACACAGGTGTCCATGGACAGCAGCTGCCATTTCTTAGAGCATCTCCACCCTGGGCTGGTCAGGGCTCAGCAAATAAGCCTCCGTTGCTGGTAATGTCCAGGCCCTCTGTTGCTAAAGCAACCCTTGGACCTTCCAATCTGCTGGGATCCTGGATGGTCCAGAATCTCAGGTCTCTGCTAAAGCTGAGGAGAATGTCTCTCTCCATTTCTCTGAGTCATCCTGTGATACAGATGCCAAAGGCTCAACAAGGTGGTCTGTGCTCCCAAAGTCCCATAGATTTTTGCAGAAATGGCTCCTTTTATTTTCTTGCCAGCATCTTCCTCTCCTACCCCAACCCTTTCTTTCTAGGGTAAATTCCTTTATCAGGGGCATCTTAATCCCTCAAGCAAATAGTCCCCAAGTAAGCAGGTCGATCTGTCCCCCAGGGCCATGCTTCTCAAACTATCAAACTACCAATCCATAGTAGACCAGTACTACTAGATAGAAATGAATTATTAGAGAAATTGAATGGAAAAAAAAGACCACAGAATAAAAGCCAAAGTTTTGAATAATTAGATTCAACAGACACAAAATTAGTCTGAGAAACTGCTATAAAAAGTTTCTAAAGTGCTTTCTTTCAAATTTTGTATTTAATTTGTCACAAGTGGGAAACAAATAGCTTATGGACCTGCTCTGGGTCTGCTGACTACACATAGCGTGATCTATGTCCTCATCCTCACATGGGCATCACCTGAGAGGCTGTTTGAAATGAGGACACCCAGGCCCTACCCCAACATCTACTAAATCTAATCTGCATTTCAAGATTCCCAGGCGATTTTCGAGCTTGTGCACGTTAAAGTGCACATTAAGGCACGGCTGTAGACACCAGGCTGACCTGGGGTCCCAGGCTGAGCAAAGCTTAGGCTTTGGCTGAGACCTCCCCACTCCAATTATTAAACCTGTATCATGGAGTTGTTGAGAGAGCTTCTGTAAAGTTTGTAATTTTCCTGTTCGGGACCATATCTGTTATCTAATGCTGAGTAACAAACCACCCCAAACCTACTGGCTTCATGAGTCTATGGGCTGGCTGGCAGTTCTGCTGCTGGTCTAACCTGGACTCTCTCCAATGCAGCAGCCAAGTCAGCTGGGCCTCTCCCCCATGTGGACCCTCCCTCTCAAGCTCGCTATCCCAGGCTTGTCCACAAGGGGCAGTGTTCCCCAGGAGCTTAGGCCGACTAAGACGTGGCTTTGGGGGAGGCATACAATCAATTCAGCCTCATTCTATTTTGGCCACAAGAAGTCACAGAGGCAGTGTGATTCAAGCGGTGGGAGGGTTTAAAGAGTTTGCGTCCACAGTGAACCTCCCTCAGGGAGCCTTCTCCCAGTTCTGGGTGGTCCCTGGAGGCAGTGAAAGGCTTTGAGAAGGGTACAGTTCCTGGGGGGTTCTTGTGCCCTTTCCACCCCGCACCGACCTCAGAGGATATGGAGAGGTCTGGGGGCCACTGTGATGGGCTCACAGCCTGAATCCTGTCTTGCCCAGGCCCACACCTTCTCCCTGAGGTTCCAAGGAAGCCATCTACTTGAACAAGAGCAGAATGGGACTCAAACACTGATGCCTGGATGCCGGCTCTGGGGATGGAATGAGTTGTTCCTGGTGGTTTAGGTCTGAGGCCTAAGTAGGGCCCCGAGTCCACTTCTCCACCCACATATATAATCAGAACTGGGAGACGTGGCTGAGCCTGTCCCACAGACCTGGACCCTGTCTGAATCTGCTGACCACACGGAAGGAGGAAGCTGGTCATGTGGGAAAGAGGGGCTGTGAACTGGCATCTGTGGCCAGGGTGGCATCTTGAAGGCCAAGCAGCGGGTGGTGAGTGTGGGACAGTGCTGTCTCCTCCCGGGCATACCCTGCCCTTTGCCCATTGGTGCCCATGGCTGATGTCTCCTGGTGAGGCTGTGCCAAATGGGAAGGCTGGCCCCAAGGCATGAGCCTGGCATTTGCTGCCACCTTTCCACCTCATCTCTGATGACCCTGAGATGCCTATCCTGATCTCTGTCCCCTCCACTCACCATGTGATGTTCCCTCCAGGTTCCTTGGGACCAGAAGTGACCTCTGACCCCGTGAGGATGTGTCCTCAGCACCCTGAGCCTGTGCCCCTGGTCCATCCTCTACCTGTGTTGAAGGAGGCCCTGGAGAAGGTCAGTGATGTCCCTGGAGAGGGCTGGCTGTGTCAGCTAGGCCCGGCTGATGAAGGGGAGGGCACACCCTCTGCACTGGTAGCAGCAATCATTCATTCATTCAGTCAACATATAATTCTTGAGCACTTACTCTGTGCGGGGTACCAGGGACATGGCAGGAAGAAAATACTGTCCTACTCGCAAGGAGTTACTAGTCTTGGATTGAGGGGAACAGTTAAGACAGCTATAACGCAGGGATAACTGTGAGGATAGAAGATGTTTAGGGGGCTATGGGGACACAAAAGAACTGGCCTTGGATTCAGGGAAGGCTTCTGGAGGAAGTGTTGTCTGAAATGAGATGTGAATAAGTAGGAGATACCCAAAGGATAGGCATGTCTACAATAAGGGAGCTTGAGGGTATGAAGGGTATGCTCCAGATAGAGGGAAAAGCATGTGCAAAAGCCCAGAGGCAGCAGAGTCAGTATAAGGCACATAAAGAGGACTGCAGGAAAATTCAGCCTGGTAGGGCCATAAGTGGAAGTGAGAGGATCACAGAAGCCATCGAAATATGCTTAAAGACACTCACCCCACAGCACGACTTTTACCACTGCAGGATGGCTCAACACTAGAGGGGGTTGTCAGCCAGCTCCAGTCTGTGCCATTCAGACCCTACCCCCTACCCACTTAGGTCACTCACCTCAGGAGACATACAGACAAATGAAACGTGATCAGCAGTGTGTGAGCAGCAGCCTGGCGGTGGCGGGCGGAGAGGGTGCTGAAACTTCGTCCAAGGAACAGTTGAAGGGGACAAAGGTGATGTGTCCACATAAAAGAGGGTGTAGGCCAATGCAGAGAGAACAATGACTGCCTGCAAATACATGGAAAGCTTTCGTGAAGAGAGGGAGCAGAAGGGTGCTATGTGACTCCCAGGGGTCAAAGCAATTAAAAAAAATAAAGCAACAATAATAACCATGGCTGCCTTCCAGTGAGCACCTAGTATATGCCAGGCACCTCACTAACCTCTTAAATGACTACTTCATGGATCTCTATCTATAGAGGAAGAAACTGAGGTTCAGAGAGGCAAATCTGGTGCAGGGGTGAAAACTACAGGTAGACCAAGCTTAGTTCAGGGTATGTGAAACCTCTCAACCAGATGGTCTGGCAGTTAATAAGAACTGGGGTTGGAGTTTACATGGCGTTCTAATCCTGATTCCATTAACCAACAGCCACTTGGGCAAGTCATTTTGTATCTCACAGACTTAATTTTCTTATCTGCAAAATGAGGAGAAATTAGCACTGACTTATTATGAGGATGAAGTGAGACAATGTACGAAAATCATTTTATACTGTGTTTGGCACATTCTAAGTATCCAATAAATGTTAGCTCTTATCATCATCATTATATTTCATCATTGAAAATAATTAGGTATTTTCAATAAATGTTCAAAGAGTGCCTAGGGGCCCTCCATAAATAGTGAATTCTCCAACACTAGGGAATCGGACTAGGCCTACTGGAGATTTTCTAAGGCATCAGACAAAGGCTTGATTAGATTAGTAGTTTTACTCCCTCCCTCCTTTTATATTTTTCCAAGGAAATGTTTCTTTGAACAAAAGTCTTATGAGGAAACCCTACACATAAAGCAGATTCCAGAGGACTGCTCTGATTGCAGCTGGGAGGGGGTCCCTCCCCATGGGACACAGTTTGAGAACCTGAGACCTAGAGGCTCACTGGGATCCCCTCCAGCCACCAGGGGGAGAGAATGGAGGGGAGCCAGGTGGGGTGTGCTGTGCGTCAGGGTGTGGGGTGGGAACCAGGCTGAATCCCATGGTGGACAGAATGGTAAGTGGGGTATGTGGGCAGGGGGAGGGGCCTGTCTCTGCACCTATACTCTGAGCCACCTGCTTCTCCTCCAAGGTGGACAGGATCCTGCGCCAGGCATTGTCTGCACCAGGCCTGGCTGCTATGTCTGCAGTAGTCATCCACAATGACACTGTGCTCTGGACCAGGAACTTTGGAAGGAAGAATGGTTCAGACCCGGCTTCTGGACCCCCCAATGAGTACACCATGTACAGGTCAGCTGGGGACCAAAAGGGTCCTGTGGAGGGGGTGAGGGGTGGGAGGAAAAGGGGGACTTAGAAGGTAGAGGGACTCAAGAGAATCTTGACTCGGGGTCTGAGCTATCAGAGCCCTTTATTAAGTCTTGACAATTTTATAGATGAGGAGTCTGAGGTCCAGAGAGGACCAGAGAGTGCCTAACATCACACCACAGCGATAACAGGTCAGGAAGGAATCCCTTCTGGAGAGCTCTTATACCCAAATCAGAAAAGGCTCCTTTGTGTCCCACCCTACCCCCCTTCCATGTGCCACAAAGAAACTGTAGCCAGTTCCTGGGCCTTCATCCCAGGTCTCTGCTAGTCAGCAGCAGTGGCCCATATGGGAGCAATTTGGGACAATCTGCTGCACACCCAGAGTCTGCCCTCCTGGGTGTTGCCTGCAGGATCCTTAAAGCTCACCACGCAAAGTGAACATTTGCTCCCAGAGGTGCTGTGAGGATTACAGGGGTTCCATTCACACTGCACCTGCTATGTGCCAGGCAGGGGGCAACAATTACATTTGCTATCACTTACTGAGCATTTATTGCCTGCCAAGTATGTGGCCAAGCACTTTGTATGCACAATCTCATTCAATTCTTTCTACAACCCATGAAACAGACAATTAGACTGAATCTCAGGAAAGTCTAGTACTTGCCGAAGGCCATTCAGCTGTTGAGAGGCAGATCTGTCCAAGAGTGGGAAGTGCCTGATGAAGGGGCTAGCATGGGGTAGGTGCTCAAGAGTGTCATCTGGCCCAGCCTCACTGCCTCTGGAATGTTCTCTAGCATCCCAAATTCACTAGCAGAGGCTAGTGAATTTCTATCTGAGACACTGAATAAGGGCAGACTCAGCATTTTCCTATTATACTAGAATGTTGGAGGCTGGAGGCACAGGGTGGAGGTGGACTGTGGGGCCAACAGGATGCTCTGTGCACCCTTGTTCCCCACCACGCCCCCTTCCAGGATCTCCAGCATCTCCAAGATCTTTCCCGTCCTCATGCTGTACCGCCTGTGGGAGGAGGGCATCGTAGCCTCTCTAGATGACCCTCTGGAACGTTATGCGAGCACCTTCACCATTAACAACCCACTGGGCATGGCATCAGCCCCCAAACAACAGAACCTGATGGATGGGTTGGAGGAGGTGGGCCCAGCTCCAAGGCCATCACCCGTCACCCTCCGACGGATGGCCAGCCAGCTCTCAGGTGAGTGGCTCTGCATTTAATCTAGCTCAGCCCAAACCATTTCAGGTCGGGGAACCAAGGAACAGGTTCTCATCCAGCCAGGCTGAGCCCACTCTCTCTTTCTGAACTGGCCATACCTCCCTTTCACCCTCCCTGGATGGTGGGCCAAGGGTAGAAAGAGCTGACGAGGAAAAAGCTGAGGTGAAACCTGGGAATTTAGATCAAGTAGAGAAACCAAAATCCGTTGGCAGGTCAAAAGCAAGTTGACAGGTCAAGATCTGCTCATTGGATCAAGAACAATTCAACAAGTGAATTTTGGAGACAATTCTACAAATTACATATTTTATATATATTCTATAATTATACATTAATTTCCCTTAATACATAAAGATCACCTATAAATCAACACAAAGACCAATAACTCCACAGAAAAATGGGTAAAGGAGAGGAACAGGATAGTTCCCAGAAAAGGAATAAAAATGGCTCTTATGAATATTAAAACATATTAAAAGATGCTCAACCTCATTCATAACAAAATAAATGCAAATTAAATCTACTGAGAGACATTTCCCCCCTATCAGATTGGTAAAGGCCATGATGGTGGGTGTACTGAGTTGGTGAAGTTATGGTGAAACAGGCTCTCTTCTACATGAGCGGTGGAAATTTAAATTGGTGCAACCTGTATGGAGGGTTACTGGTAATATCCACCACAAAAATGCATATATCCTTTGACTCAGCAATTACACTTTTAGGAAATTCTCTTACAGAGTATTCACACATGTGCAGTAGGAGGTATGTACACAGTTATTCTATAGCACTGTTTGTACTAGGGAAAAAAAGATAGAAATAACTTAAACGTAAATAGGGGAATAACTAAATAAACTATGACATAGCTATACAATCAGATACTATGTAGCCCTTAAAAAAAAGGGTAATAATGTCCTTATGTACTGAGATGCACTAAGATACAAAGTTAAGTGGGTAGAAAAGCTCATAACAGCACATACTGAATGTTACCATATAAATAAATAAAATAATGTGTACACACATAATGCACATACATATGAATGTATATACATAATCAGTATAATGTACATATTATATAACACACATATGTTATGTATATGATTATATATATATGTTTACATGTGCGTCGCAGATCTTTGTAAGGGAACTAAAAAGACTGAAACATTGGGTTGCCTCCAGGGAGGGGAACTCGGTGGCTGGGGAGAAGAGTGGGAGGAAAATTTTTCACTGTGTACCCTTTGGTGTCTTTGGAATTTTGAATCATGTAGATGAATTACTAAAATAAATTATATAATAATACTGACGATAATGATAACAAAAGAGGTGCTAAAAAGTCAAGAAGTCAACATGGTGGGAGGGCAAAGGCACGCTGGGATACTGGAAGACAAAACCAGTCAACAGGAATTGGGCAGGACTGGCTCAGGAAAGGGCTGGATGCTGAGGGATTGCTCTGGGAGCTTGTGAAGGACCTTCCATTGCCTTTTATGCCCACTTTCCACCTGTGAATGAGGAGGGCTGGTTTAGAGAGAAGCTGTGCATGTGGGTGGGCAGGGGGCTGTGCTGCAGTGGTGACTGACCCAGCGAAGGGGGAGGAGGCAGGCGCCATCAGCACCACTCCAAATACCTTCTATTGCTCATATTTGCAGTCATCAACCCATCAGCTCTAGACGGTAGGAATCCTTCTCCAGTGCCTACTATTTCATCATTTTACAAAGTGTGTTCAGGCCTGAGCTCTCAGGCTCTGGAAATAGCTGGTTATCACTCCCATTAGCAGATGGTGAACCTGAGGCTCAGCTAGAGAATGGAGCCTCCTGAAGTTGCCCAGGCAGGACAGGATCAGAGTCTTCAGGGAGGTCAGCCCAGCGGTTAAGGGCACCAGCACTGAAATTCTAGCTCTGCCTCCTCCTAACTGTGTGATCTTGGGCAAGTCACGTAATTGCTCTGAGCCTTGTTTTTCTCCTCTGTAAAATGACTGGTTCCTGCTATTTTAGGGGATTAAATGTGCTAATGAATGTCAAGCACATAGCAGAGTATCTGGCACACAGCAGGTATTTGTCAATGTAGCTCTGGTTATTACCAGCCAGGTATAGACGTAGATTTATTGGGGCCTGATGCAGATATAATTTGGGGGTCCTCTTTAAAAATACAATATTATAAATTCAAACTTGGATACAGGCCTTGGAAGGGGTCATGCAGGGGTGGGGTCCCAGAGCTTTTGCTCCATGAGCCTTCTATTACATCCACTCCTGGTTATAATCTGACCCAGGGCTCCCTCTAGGGGTACATTGCAGATGCTTGGTCATCTATACCTGGGGAACCCAGTACTAGGCTGGCTCTGTGTAGTCAGTTTAAAAACACCTTACATGTCTCCTCTCAGTCCCAAAGGGGCCAGCTGAGCATACAGCTTCCTGAATAACTCTGTTACAGGCTCTCAGTGTTTTTTACGACTGACCTTCACCCTCATCTAGAGCTTTCTCCCATTCTTGGAGCTTTTCATCCATTTTTAGTTAAGTCTTGCAACACCTCAGGAAAACCACTGCAGGTGCTTCAGCTCACTTAAATGTGAGCAAGTAGAGGCTCAGATAGGTAAAGCACATGGTTTGTGGCCACACAGCAAGAAATGTTTGAATCATAATTTAAACCCAGGACTTGGGACTCCAAACCCGGGTTGCTCAGGCCTACAGCCTTGAGGCATCCCTGATACCTCTCACTCCCACACCCTCCACACCCCCTCCAGTAGCAAATTCTGTTGGCTCCACTATCAAAATATGTCCAGAATCCATCCATTCTTCATCACCTCCACTGCTAGGACCCTCATCCAATCCACCATCACTTGCAAGTCTCCTTACAGGCTTCCTTGCTTCTTCCAGTGCCCCGCAAAGTCTGTTTTCACACAGCAGTCAGAGCAACCTTGATATATGTCAGATTGCATCATTCCTCTACTCAAATCCTTGCAGTGGTCACATCCTACTCAGAAAAAAGGCCAAATCCTTACAGTAGCCTATAGCACCCTAAGTACTTGGTGCCTGTACCCCTAGTATTTCTCACCTCCAAAGTCTCCCCTTTTCTCACTCCCCTCCAGCCACACTGGCTGTTTCCTGCTGATCCTTAGACATACCAAGACATTACTGCCTCAGGGCCTTTGTACTTGCTCTTCCCTTTGCCTGAGATATTCTTTCCTCATAGAGCTGTGTGGCTCTCTTGCTCATGTCCTCCAGGTCTCACCTCCAGGTCATCTTCTCCATGAAAAGCCTTCCTCTGACAACTTACTATAAAATAACAATCCTTCCCTTCATACATGGAATTATTTTTCTTGATACCATGAATGTTTATTTGCTTCTTGTCTGTCCCCTCCACTAGAATGTAAACTCCACATGGGCAAGGACTTTGTTTTGTTCACTCCTGAATTCCAGTACCCAGAACAGTCTTTGGCACAAAAGAGATGCTTGAAAACTATTGTTGAGTGAATAGATGGCAAGAATCCTAATCCAGAAAATTCCAGGTGGTCAGAGGAGCAATTTCCACAAAACCTATTTGGACACTGACCTTAACAATTTTATGGAATCAAACTTCTATGGGTGATGATAACAATTATTTTTTGAGCAATTACTATGACCAGGCACCATGCTAAGCATTTTATTTCACTAAGTCTTCACACCAGCCCTATGAAATAATTGTTATTTCCCTCATATACAGATGAAGGGATTAGGGCTCGAGAGGTTGAATGGCTTGCCCAGTGAAACACAGGCAGGATTAGAGTCCATGCTAGACTTTTTTTTTTAAGGTGATTTTGTTGTTGTTGTTCAACCCATGGGAGGTGGTGGAGAGAGGAGTGCACCCATGGGCCCATCATCCCACCCTCAGCTGACCCAGCAGGTCTGACCACTGCTCCCCTCTAGGGCTGCCCCGAAGGCTCCGCTCGACTTCGCTGCTGTGGAGGGGCAGCACCCAGGAGGCCCTGAGCCTGCTCAAGGATGATGTGCTGGTGGCAGACCCAGGAACCAGGTGAGGAGTGAGCCTTGATGTTCTGCCAATGCTAGGAACCTCAGAAGGTGACACACCCCCTCCTGGAAGAGAGCCTAGGTGGTCAGAGCCAGGAAAGACCTCAGAGATCACTAATGATAACCCCTATTCCACAGCTGGGAAGACTGAGGCCCACAGAGGGATGACAGAGCAAGGCAGTGGGGAGCTGGGCCCAAATCCAGTTCTGTTTGAACCTCATGCTCTCTCTATTAATCAACTCAGCATTTATTGAGCACCTACTGTGTGCTAAACTGAGATAACAGCAGTGAACAGATCCAACCAGGTCACTCTTCATGGACTTTGCATTCCTGTGAGTGGACAGTGAACATCTTAACAGTGAGAAGACAAACAAGATAAATACAGATTTTGCCAAATGCTGAAAATAAATGGGATGCTGATGAGATAGGGAGGGGATAGCTGGAGTAGCCACTGAACAGAGACGCCCAAACCCTGGAGCAGTGGGGCTGTGGAGCTGGGCAGAGGACAGCTGGCACTCCTCTGCTTCAGATGCTCCCTTCCAGGCCCTAGGCAGTGCCCTTATTCTAAATTTGCCCCTCTGCTTCTCCAAGTGCTGAACCTCAGGCCCCATTTCTCTTAGGGAAGAAAGGATCTAGGTAATACTCAGGCATATGTAGGCTAGAGTCCTTCCAGCTCTGCCACTAACTTGCTGTATGACCTCAGAGGAAGTATTTTGCCTCTATGAACCTCATCTTCCTCATCTGTTAAAAAAAGGAGATTGGGCTGGAGTTCAGGAATGTCTAGTAGGATTTGTGCACTTTCATCCATTCTTGTACCTTTCTGAGGCCCTATTTTAGACATTCTGAAACTGCATCTGCTCTGGGAAAGAAAAGAGACTTCCTACCCATTTTTGGTGTCTGCCATGGCTGATATAAGAAGGGAGGGGTGAAATCCCGCCTCCTATTTGTTATCCTTGAGCGACATGATAGCTATCATTACTCCCCCCCACCCCAACCCCAACCCCCGCTAGTCTGAGACTCCAGTTTTCCATTTGATAAAGTAATTAGTGTAAAGGACCGAGGAGATTTGTTTTACCACTTTCCCAGATGCATTGCCAAACCCAGGTCTCCTCCAAAAATGCTGTGACCCTGGGCAATTCTCTGCTCCTTTCTGGCCCTTCCTCTTTCCAGTTGTAGAATAGTGAGTTGTCGCTAATGATTTCCGAAGTCTCTGCTGGGTCTGGCCACCTGGGATGCAGTGAAGCAGGTCCCGCCAAGTTCAATTAAACTGGTGGTTTTTCAGTCCGAGCCTACTGTAGGAAGAGGCTATTTAGGGCCTAAAGATGTCCCTCCTCAGCTGCATCCCAGCTTTCACCCTCTCCTCTTCCAGATGCCATTACAGCACGCTGGCCTTTTCGCTTCTGGCTCATGTCCTGGCAGCCCACACCGCCCATGGTGACTACCAGCGCTGGATATTGGAGAATGTCCTGGAGCCGCTGGAGATGGTAGACACGGGCTTCGATCTTACGCCTCCTGTACGCGCCCGCTTGGCAGCTGGCTTTTACGGCAGCGGGCGGCCGGCGCCACTCTACGACCTCGGCTGGTATCGCCCGTCGGGCCAGATGTATTCCACCCCCGCCGACCTGGCCAAGCTGGCCATGGTGCTCCTGGGCAGCGGGCCCCGGCGGCTTCTGCGACCCGATGCGGCCAAGACATTGCTGGCGCCGCTGCTGGCCTG